CAGCAGAAGCTCTTCAAGATCGATGACAACATGGCCATCGGCATCTCCGGCCTCACGGCAGACGCGCGCGTTCTGGCCGACTATATGCGCAACGAGTGCTTGAACCACCGCTACGTCTTCGACTCGGCGATGAACGTGGGCAGGCTCGTGGCGCAGGTGGCCGACAAGTCCCAGCAGAAGACCCAGAACTCCTCCAAGCGGCCCTATGGTGCCTGTTGCTCAGTCGTGGTGTTCCGTTGTCTGTTTGATGCCCCGTTCTGGTCAGAGTCCTTCTGTCATGAGTCCAGGTCGGACTCCTCGTGGCTGGTTGTGACGAGAAGGGCCCGCACCTCTTCGAGACCTGTCCCAGTGGAAACTACTTCGAGCCATTCGGCAAGCAATTCGCAGCGATGCTGAGGCTACCGTTTGTGGTTTGAGCCGAAGCCAGATTCGCCCAGGTACTATGCCATGGCTATCGGTGGGCGCTCAACCTCAGCAAAGACGTACCTGGCCTCCTGGCTAAAAGACTGCGGCAGTGTAGCAGTTTGATCCTCGAGTGTTCCCGAGGAGAAGCATTTCGCGGACTTCGAGACTGCAGATGTGGATGCGTTGGTCAAGCACGGACTGGAGGCTGCCAGCTCGGGAACACTATGTCTGTGGACAACTGCCCACCTCCCCCAAAGATCCCCGAAACAAGGGGAGAGAATCTCGGAACATGCAACCTGACAGGATAGCTGTCTTTTCCTGGTTCGGCCTTGGACTTTCTGCGTATCAATAGCTTCGAAGCACTGGGCTGCCGTTGGGAAAGCTCGCGCAAGCCGGTCATGTCAGGGTTGTTGGCACCAAGACGTCAGGCCATGAACAAGACGACCTCGTCGGATCAGTCCTTGACGACCAAGAACACCGCCGTCGCCGTGATTGAAGCCGGAGGCCACATCGATTGGGTGACATGCCACTGCTACTTGTACCAGTCCTTTCAAGCCTGAAGTAGCGGGTCACCGGGAGGTTCTCCCTTGAGAGTCATATTTTTTTTGGATTTTGGATTCGGGGAATTTGGGAACCAACTCAACCTAGCTCTCAGGCACAAGTTGGATTGAAGAGCTTGAACCACTCCTGGCAGAGCGAACCAGGCAAATATCGGGAGCTTTCGGGCGACGATCTTCAGAAGTTCATCGATGGATTGGAGAAGAAGGCGGGCAACGGAGTGTTGCATGGAGTGTTACGCTGCGATGCTCGTCCAGCATGTGTTGCTCCAGCAGTCTAGCGGCCGAGCCTATCGTAGCCGCCGATGTTCCCCAAAGCCCGAAATCCTCAACCCGAAAGCCCTAAAGCCCTAAAGCCCCAAGCGAAGACCACCAAAAACACCACTGCTCCTCTGGGCCTCAGGCAGAGGACGAACCCATGCCGGAGGAGCCCACTCCGGCAGCAGAGGGCGCCGCTCCCATGGACACGTCGGGATGAGGCCTCTCGGTTGGACGCCGCATCGCCTGCAGGATGAGTTCGCATGTTTCGAGATCGCCGTCGCGTGAGATTCCGGCCGTTCGTGGGGCGCCGTATCAGCTTAGCCTCTCAGTTCTGTCACATGTGGAAGAATGAAAGCGTGAGAGAGCCAGAGCCAAGTATCATTCCGAAAGATTTGGTCGCACTGATCTTCCTTTTGAGAAGAAGAGAGCGCGGAGTCTCATTGGGACGTGGACTGTCGCCCTCGTGGCCCCCTCTGTGGTGGGTCACGGATGTTGCGTTCCTAAATCTGATTGCCAATGCAGGCTTTCCCCTCTCTGTAGCCGTGGAGTTACGTCTTGTCAGCTTGCAGCTTGGCCGCCGCCTGACTCAGGTCGGCACAGGCTGTGAGAGCTTGGCAACAGGTGGTAGAACATCTTAGTCCAATTCGACAGGCGATCGCTCGTTTTTGGAGTAGTGACGAGAAACTGTTCAGAGCCTTGAACATGATGTCAAAAATCACGAATGGCTTCACTTCGATGCGAGTGTAGAATCAGTGTAGAAGGCAGAAGGTGCCCGGGATGTCTGGCTGGCATGTGAAGCTAGGCATGAGCTCTTTGCTCAGGGGTGCTCAAGGGTGCCGATGGCTGCCGGTTACGGGCGCCTGTAATGGAGTTTTGATGCCCTTACGGGTCGCATGTAAACAGCCAGCTGGACCTCCCATGCAGCTGGGCCTCCGGTGCCAGCTTCTGAATTCCCCCCCAACGAACAGGACGGGGCGAACAAAACAGGGAGCCTTCATATGCTCTTGCAAGATGCATTTCTGGCACACGACACCACCAGTAAGGAGCTCAGACCGTTGCTGGAGGGACAGGATCACATGGAGTATGAGCCTCGACATCCGAAATCCCAACTCCAAGACCTTGAAGCCTGGGGCCTCGCAGGCCCTGAGCCCTGAACCCTGATTCCAGGCCGCAAAAAATCTACAAGCCCTGCTTTCCTCAAGGCACTGTTACGCTCACAGAATCAATCCAACTGAAGCCGAAAACCTTCAAAACCCGTGGCTCCGGCTCAAGCCGTTTTTGGAGCCTCTCGCAACCATTGGTAGCTGTGGAGCGGCTCCTGGGTTGGCCACAGCTCCCTCTCTGCCTCCCGCATCCCATCCGCCCTTTTCTGGCAGGCCTCTAAGAAGAAGGTATCTTGAAGCCGGATCAGAGTATGGCCGCGTCAACTCCCAGCACGCCTTTCCCTACTTTGGCACGGTGCGCTTCATGGAGGACGAGCCGACCTCCGCCAGACCACACGACACCGCGACTATGGGCTGATCCCCAGTGGCATCATCGATGACCATGGGTTGGAGGAAGATTTGTCGACGCTATGGCTGAACATCATGACGATGAACGCCCCCGACAAGTGCATCGATGCAGCAGGGCATGCTGCCATGCCAAGCAAGTTTCCCTGCAATGCGAACCCGCAGCATGTGCAGCACGGCTACTCCACAACCTTTGCGAGATCCGAGGTACGATGCGGAGGACCCAACACGTGCGAAAAGGTACAAGGACTGGATTGAGCCTACGCTGGTCAAGAACGCGACCCTCAACGCCAGTGAGCGGGTGATGGATTTTGAGACCTTCACAGCTCTGCTGGCAAGAAGGGCCGTGGAGGGTGACCTCAGTGGCGAGTGGTCGCTAAAGCCGAATTCTGAGTACGTCGGCAGCAACTTGGAGCACTACCATCCCCATATCAGCCAGCTCGGCATCTACACCACTGGGGCTGGTGACTGGGCTGGCTTGGGTGGGCCTCTGGGAGGCCTACGGCTATCCGTACCCGGATGGATCGAAGGTGAAGTACATGACTCAGAGTGATCTCCATCGCTTCCTTCTTCACAGCAACCTCCAGAATCTGTCACTTTGGAGGATCTGGCTACAAGAATCCCCTTTGGCAACCTTTACTCCGAATCTTTATCCAAGAAGTTTCCGCTCACGAGCTTCCTCCAGAAGGTGCTCGGCGCTGAGTGGAGGCACATGACGAACTATGCAGACAACCAGCGTTCTGTTGGCTTCTTCGAGGACAACATCGTCATTCCGATGCCTAGGCCCAGCGCCCTCGCGGTCTGAGCCTCCGGGGCTACGCAGACGAATGTTCCCCACCTTGCATCTCCTGGCGAGGCCACCGACCAAACCAAACCCACTCCTAACCTGCGAAGTAGGAGTAGCTGAGCAGCTGGAACAGCACTAAAACCAGCAGCAGGTCGTCTCGCACAGGAAAGCCCCGGAGCCTAATAGTTCGCTCCGACGGAGTCCATGGCATAGTTCCCTGGTATGGGGGCGTCAACAAGCTCCCTCGAAGCAAAGTTATGTGAGGCAAGTGGATGATGTGCTCTTTCGATCGTGAAACTTTGCTTTGAACCACTTTTGTAATTCGAATCGAAGGCTTCATGGTGCAGTTGCACCTCTCTTTGCCGACCTTTCAGGAAGAGGGATGCAGCAGCTTTCTGGTCCCCGAGAGGACGTCAGTCGCACCCGCCAGGCAGAGAGCAAAGACAACAAGTCAAAGTCCTTTGTGTCTGCACTAAGCTTCCCGTGCTTTGTTCTCGTGGTTTCGGGGGCTAGGCGGCAAGATAAGGGACCATTGGCATGCTGGCCGTGGTCTGGAACGCGGGGGGCTTGTCCGAAGTCCTCATCGCTCATGCTCAGACTCCTCGCCCGAATCGTCCCAGCTGTGCGAGTCGACACCCTAGACAACGTCACAGGGATGGTTCAATGTAAATGCCTGCGGACCCGAACGGCAGTGCTTGGAGCCAAGACCTTCCTAGGAACCCCCAAAAGTATCATGTAGTAACCTCATGGGAACCTTCCTAGTAGCCTTCTTAGAAGGTAGATCCTGTACCAAACCCCGTCTGTTCTGGAGGCTTTCGGCTCGCTGGTTTGCTTCCCCAGGGCCTCCCTCGCGGGCATTACAGGCTGCAACATGTTCTTCATAAGGTCTACATGTTATGGTGGCGAGTCAGTGCCGGTATCTTTCAGTGATTCGGCTTGGCTCTTTCCAGGAGACCTTTTGGGTTGGAAGCTCAGCCATAATTGGGCTGTCCTCACTCTGAACTGGAGCTGCAGGCCTGGACACAGCATCTGGGGCGACCTTGACAAGATGTGCCCTTTCTGAGCCCGGTGCCGGAAAAGACTGGCTCCGTTGTTTGCCCGTTCGGCTTTTCTAGCGGCCCTAGCGACTAAGCCGAGCTTCGGTCTGGGAAAACGGGGGGCACTACTCTGCAGCGACATGAAGCTGTATTTGGACACCCCGCCATCGGCAGAGCAGATATTTGCGAGATGCATTTTGCTTTGGATTGCTGGAACCGGCCGACACTCGCCTTGCAGTGCAGATGCGTGACACCCCTGCATCGTGGGCCTAGCCAGGCAGGCACTTTGCCGTGCCGATGAACCTGGGAGGGTGACATAGTGCGATCCTGACAATAATGTCAACGACTCTCTGACATTTGCCTTAGGCCCCCCCTTAAGCCCTTGGACCATCTTGGACCAAGACAAGTACACTTTGAAGAGCGTCCACTAGCAGAGAGCCGTGAGGACAAATTCGTGATTCATCAGGTCCGGGGGCTCAGAGAGCGGTTTTTTGAGCTTTCCGGCACGCCAAAACATGATGGGCCGATGACAGAAGCAAGGCCTCAGAGTTTTAGACTTCTTTATTGAGCGCTGGAAGAGCCTCCTACTGGTAAGGGCAGCTTTTGTGGAAATGGATTCCTTTCAGCTAAGTTTAAGAGTGGCCGAGATCAACATCTTTTTGGAGGTATCCTGAAGCACCCTTTCCCTGAAAGTGTGCTTGGGGGTGGGTTCTTGAGATCCCTGCGACTGCGAGGCAACTGACGCCACCAATGGAACCCGCAGGGAGCCCCGGGAGAGGTTCGGCTAAGCCTTTCCGCGCCGCTTGCAGTATCAGATGGGTCTTTAGAACACCTTGATCATAGCCCAAGAATGAGTATAGCACCCTAAGGCGGTTTATAGTGCCCCTATAGCTATGGCTATGGTACCCCACACTACGCTCAAAAGCCTGGCACTCTTATCACCTCATCTCGGATCGGCGAGCTGCAAGGCTGGGTCCTGGAGAACCAGTCGAAGGGGGCCGGGAACATCTTCGGCACTCCGAAGGACACGGGCCGGAGAAAAGCTGGGAGTCAGATAAGTTTGGACATTTCTGGTATTTCGAAATTTCTGGTCACAGGGGCATGTCGACGTGATGTTGTCTCGATCGAGATGTCTGGCCACGCCCTTGTAGTAACCCTAAGGTTGCCTCTTCGTCCCAGCTTTCCGTCCCTGGCAGTACGCCGGCAACGGCCCTCCGTTTCAAGGCGGTCCCTCGCCCCCACGGGGCATGCAGGGTCCTCGGTGTGAGGCAGTTCAGCTTCTAGGCAAATCGATGGCACTATGTGTGCCCTTAGTCCGCCATGCGGAGAGAAGAACGTCGAGGGCCCATGGGCAGAGGCGGCAAAGGGTAGATTTCCAACACAAGCCCGGCCAAGGTGGAATGTTTGGGACTGTCCTTTCCACCTGACGGACGTGATGCCCCGATATGATGCAATCCAGTCGCCCTTCACATTGAAGGCAGGGGCGATTTGTGGGGCGCATAAAGATCCGAAAGCAGATCGGAAGTTCTGCTGCCCATCGCTCTGCAGCGCTTCCCTCCGAAAGCCTTGAAGCCTCGGAGGTCCCCTTCGTTGAGATGGCCTACCGGGAGGAGGCTCCGGCCGGGTCTGCCTCACAAACACCAAGAAGCCCACGGTTTCCGCAGGGAGCAGTGGCCTACCTAGAGCTGGTGATCTGCGAGACTGCTATGGATGACGAGTCCCTCGATCCCGGGACGCACTTTTGCCTTTCCTAGCTTATGGTTCGTTGTCGGTTCACGTGGCCTAAACTTCGACAAGCCCATACAAAACCCCAGACCATAAACCCTATGCGGAGCCTTGCCGGCCTTGTGCGAGTGTGAGAGTCGAAACCGCTGAAGTAGAATGCTTGAGCTCCGACTTGTTGATGCTTTCTGTGCTTGAACGGACGTGTTAATGAGATGGGGCTCTCGGCACACCACCCCGCCTTGGACATCTCGGATCGTTTGTCCGCCATCTTGACTTTAGTCATTGCCCATATCAACATGGTAAGGTTGCACGCCTTTGATGATAAATTGCAAGGCCCTTGGTACCAGTACCGTCAGCGAGCCATTGCTGCTGCTACGACCGCGACGATTACTACGCCTACTGCTCTCTTTTCGGGCTACTGTTCATATGCGTTACCGTTCCAACAGAACAAGGTCAAACCATTGAGGGAGCTAATACTGCTACAACATGCGTGTGAATTTGGAGTAGGTGCAGCTTCCAGAATTGATGCATTGTCGACTGCCATTCCGATATGAAACTAAAACCTGTGAACTCATATCTGGCCTTGGAGGAAGCCGACTCCTGAAGTTCATTTACAACGCTGACACTTGCAGCAACACTGCCGATAGCGGAGCTAACGAAAGTTAAGGTAGCCGCGATGATGCTGACGACAAGAACACGTCTGACACTGAACCCCACCAAATCAGAAGCATGATAAGCATGTGGGTGAAAGCAACCTCTCATGAGGGATCTGAGAAAGGGGCGTTTGAGGCCGGCATCACTACAAGTCGCGGCCAGAAAGCAGCAAACGTTCCTATTTTTGGGTTTGTCTGTTGGGAAGGTCAGGGAAAGAGCAAGCCCCCTAGCGACAGAAGTTGTAGCGGGTTCATCCAGGCCCACGCTGAAATCAAAGCCCCATGGGTTTGCTCAGGACAGGGCTTTGCAGGAAATGAGGTGCGGCTGCAGGGGTTTTGCGGTTGAAGGTTGCAGAGTCTTCTCAATTTGCTTCTGTTTTGAAGTGGTGACAGTGGGTGTCACGATTCTTCTCTTGCGAGTTTGGGATGCTGGAGGCAGAACTGCGGTGCAGGCTTTGGCTTCTTAGGAATAGTCCGTGGGACTTGTGGACAGTCCATCATGGGTCCTCACGGAGCTCGGAGCTGTTGCTGTCCACTTGGACCCGCTCTGAACTCGGAAAGTGCGAGGCTTTGAGTCCGAAACCGTTTTTGGTCGCGCTCCCTTCAGGCGCATCATGTTGAACCTGGCCAAGCGGCCCGAGATGGCTTGGCCCTCGAAGCGCTTTTCGGAGCCTCTGATGTCAAGCGGTGCGAATCGAAAGCATTGGAAGCACAAAGAGTCACAGAAGTAGTAGCGGCAGCAACTGGAGCAGTCGTCGTCATTGTCGTTGCTTTTTTCCGTTGTTGTTGGTGTGGTTGTTGTGGTTGTGGTGGTGGTGGTGGTGGTGGTGGTGGTCGTCGTCGTCGTTGTTGTTACTACTAGTACCAGTAGTAGTAGTAGTAGTAGTAGTAGTAGTAGTAGTAGTGGTGTAGTAGTAGTAGTAGTAGTAGTAGTAGTAGTAGTAGTAGTAGTAGTAGTGGTAGTGGTAGTTGTGGTAGTAGTAGTAGTAGTAGTAGTAGTAGTAGCAGTAGTAGTAGTAGTAGCAGCAGTAGCAGTAGCAGTAGCAGTAGCAGTAGCAGTAGCAGTAGCAGTAGCAGTAGCAGTAGCAGTAGCA